ATTAGAAAGATGAAAAATTTGAGAGATAAATAAAATATCATATTTGGTAAAAAAGAAAAAAATAAGAAGAATGAAAAAATAGATGAATTAACTTTTTTTTCAACTCACCAAAATCAATTCCTCTAAAATCGAAAGAAAAGTGAATGAAAAGTTAATTATTTGTATTGAGATATACATTTTATTTGTCTATATATATATATATATATATATATATTTTAAAAAAATTTAAAAATAAATTTAAAAGTAAAAAATAAAAAATTTTAAATTAAAAAAATATTTTTTTCATCTTAATTAGAGCTGAATTTTTTTGACTCAACACGATGATACGACTCGAACTCGACACGAATTTTATAAACAGGTCAACTTGTAACTCGACATTACACAATTAGTTAAATGAGTTCAGTTAGGTGTGACTAATGTTCGACACAAATCCGTAATAACTCAACACGAATCTGACACGACATGACTCGATTGTCAACTCTAATTTTAGCTAGCACCAAAAAAAAAAATTTAATCATTTTTATTTTCCATCCCTCTAATCAAATATAAAGGAAAGAAAGTGTATTATTCATACTTTTTTTCCTTGAAAGATAAAAAGTGTGTCTCTTCTATTTTACATCATTCTTACTTTTCATCCTTTCAAATTTGATTGATCTGATATTTGTGATTAGGAGTGATAGGACTTACTTACGACTTTTGTCGCAATCGTTAAGATTTTGTGGTTCACTGTCAAATTTATTTTAATTCTAAGAGTTCAGATCAAATCAATGATATATTTATTTGATCCAAACTCTCTTATTGAATGAGCATTCTTAATTATTCCCATTGAATGCCTCAGCACTTGGAGATTCTTGTTGAGTCAATAAATCGTAGTCACTAAAAGAACACAAAAAAAAAACAGAAGGTTCATTGGTTGGAGAGGAAAAAGAAAAAGGGGGAGGGGGTGGGGTGGGGTGGGGGAAGAATTGCTTGTCTAAATATTCATTGGATCAAAATGATACACGTATAATTTTTTCGAAGTCTCATGACAAGCTGTGAAGTTTTGGCAGGTAATGAGTAGTGCTAAAAATTCATTCTTGGAATATCTTGTAGCGACAGGCTTGCATGGTCCTCCAATGGAGGAGGAGGAAGAATTATAAGACACTGCTTCTCTCACATCCCACATGGGGTGTGAGTCTTTGGTCAACGATGTCCCCATATTCAAGCTTTTAGCAGCTTTTCTGTTCCTCTTTCAAAAGTTTAATGGACACACCACACACACTGTCTATTATTATTGGCAGTACAGGGTATGGTGGCTTAGTCTACATGAAACAACAATAGAGGTGGTATGTATAAATGAATAATGTTATAGTCAATACAATATTTATTTTTAGAACATGTTATTATTACATTAGTATATCAATAAATTAGATTAAATTTTTATTCTCAATATTAATTATTCTCCTATTGATCACCTAATAATGAACACTTTAATCGATTGAATAACATGAATCTGTAAATTTCACAAATATTTATGTCATTTATTAAACATGAGATTAAATAAAATTATGTTTGAATCTCATGTAGAAAACCTTTAAATTGAATTTGAAAGGACTTCACAAATGAAATCCAACACCCCCAATGAAGACCATCCAAACAGGCGCACAATTGAATTTCGGGTACGTGGGACTGTTGGTTTATTTTGGCACAAGAAGTCCAATTGGGTCATGTGCAGTGGACCCCGCTTACTTTAGTTTTGACATTTAAGACCTTGTTTCAATGAATTTTGAAAAAGAATTTGCATTCGCTTCTTCAAATATTTTCAAACTCACACCCTTTTTTTTAAAGGTAAAACTCAATATTCAATCCAGTTTATATATATGTTTGGTATGTAACACATACACATGTAGGATTTATGAATATATCATAATTATTAACAACTATTTTTCCTGTAAATAACTATTTTATCTTATCGTTGATTAATTCAATTCATACCGTTGTTAAGGGGTACGTACAATTGTCTTTTAGATCTTTAACTCTTTACCTATCTTCCCAAACCCACCTCTCCTTGGGTTTCACGAAACTCATGATCATGAGTTTAATTTTTGAGCCAGTTACAGACCGGGTTTGAAAACCCGAGATTAAATTTCTCATACAAACATGAGATTTGGGAAAACTTTAGACTATTTTTCCTAAATTCATCTCATCAAGCCTCCATACTCCCTTACCAAACAGCCCTAAACGTTTGGTTATTTGATGGACCTTACAAAACGACAAAGAACAAAATAATGAAAGAAATGTAGTCATAAGATAATGAAAAAGAATAGTGAGATTGGCCTAGTTATCATATATTTCATCGTATGGCCTTTGGACTAGGCATGTTAATAGACCTAATTTCAATTCAAATTTAGATATAGACTAATCATTTCATTCGTTATCTAAATTCGTTTAAATATTTTAAATCAGATATAAACACATATAATCCAATGAATAATCTAATGTCAATTTTATCCATAATTAATATCTCTCATAACTGATTTGTAAATAACTCTACAAATTTTATGAATAAATTTTAATTTGCAGTTGATACAACATATACAAATTAGAAAGTCCAAAAGTGTTTTCGAATGTTTCATTTGTTAATAGTCCTTGCAATCTTTCACTCAATAACTTCTCAATCCTCATTACTTTCGCTTCTCTTGTGCTTTCTCTCTTTAATGTGATCTAGTTGGATTCTTTAACATCGTCAAATTATCCACAAGATAACTCTTTCTCTAGTCGCAAGTATAATTTTCTTGTTCATAAACTGAACATATGTTTTTATAATTTGTTGTTCACCTTAGATAGATTATGTATTTTTGTTGTGTTTAACAGTTTTTTGTTGAAGGATGGTAAAAAGTTAGAGAACCTCTAATCACTTCAGTGCATTTGATTATGACCATGATTCTAATGTCTTGACTTTAGGCTCAATTTCAAATTTACATCCAAATCTGAAGAAAAAAATGTACTGGCTCACATGCGTTGGCTACGACGGATAGGGATATATCATGTTGATTTCCGCAAGAAAGCAAGATAATTTGAATTTGGAGAGTTGTCGCTATCCATTAGCATTCACCTACTTTATGTGTTATTGAATTAATGGTTGTTCATATTTGATTAGGTATTTCAAACGAGTTTTTTAAGTTCTACATACTATAAACTAGGTATTTCATGGGTTTCCCATGTTTATCTTTGATATAGTTTATGTCAGTAAGATATACAATTTAAGAATTGCAATAATTTTATACTTTCTCCTAAGTCTTCCATTTTTGCTTATTATTGATGTTTCTTTCGCGGCTTATATACCTTTCAAAATCTGAAAAGATATTGGTATATGTACTTTTAAAAAATATTATTTATTTCTAGCAAAGCAAATAGAGATCAAAACTTTTCGAGTCTTTGATCCCCCCATCTCCAAAAAAAAAAAAAAAATTAAAATCACAATCTTACTGGGCTTGATTAAGTTATTTGTAATATCGGGATCACTTTTCCTAATTTAGGTGCTAGACAAAATCGATCTTAATATTTTATAATTGTTAACAACATTGTAATCCATTATGATATATTATGGGTAATCCGTGTTTAAATGTACGATACAATGTGAATAGTTTTGAGAGGAATAAAGGTGACCATTAAATGTGTCTATTTGAGACCGTCAAATGAATTTATTAAAGTTTGTTTTGTTTTATATTATAAATGTGATCAATCACTGATTACCTTAATTACATGTAACCTTACTTTTACATCCATTATGATACGTGTGATCAAGCACTAATTATCTCAATAAGATGTAACCTCACTTTTAAAATGTATAATTTGACGTTTCAAAAGTTATACTTTTTATGTTTGATCCCGATATTTGATCATCAATCATAAACTTTTTGAGTTATAACTTAAATTTTTAAAAGATTATAATTCAAACTTAAGATATTATAAATTTTAATACGTTACCTCCATTATTGTCTTCCTATATTTAATTAGTACTTCCATGAGTAATATAATGAGAGAGTCAATCATAGAAATTCATGAAAGGAAATGGAAAATTATTCGGTTGTAGATACCACAGCATGATTAATCATTTGTGATGTTTTCCTGTTTTTTTTTCTTTCATTTTTCTAGGTCAACGTGTTTGGTAGTTCTTGAATGATATAAAGGGTCAGTGCAACTAAGTGATAAAATAAAAAATAAAGTGGGGTCTTAGTGTCATTTGGAAAATAGAAGGGGCGCCATAATAATAAGTCCATATGTCCAGGGGTGTAACTATAATTTATCGTAAAGTAAGATCCTATCTATAGTAAATTTAGTTAGCTTCTGTTTGGATCTGGTTGGTTTCATTGTTACAGATAAAAAATCCAAAGGCCAGCCTCAGCTGTTGCCGGCTTCAATTACAGTGAAAGAAGACCAGCATTTGCTTCAAATCCATCCACGTTCTCTCTCTCTCTCTATATGTGCAGCAGAGAGAAGAAACAGAGAGTTATTGAAGATCTGCGTGAAAGCATAACATCACATCACAGGACATTCCATGAAAGTCCCAACAATTCTCGATTCCCGAGGTAAATTTACGTTCTCTGTTAATACCTAATTTCAAACTCATCTTCATTTTTCAATCCGTAAATTTGGAAACATTCATGAGAGAGAAGACATTGACAGTCTGTAACTTATGGACCACACCATTTTGTCTTTGACAAATACATATAAACAACTTCATCGCCGTCTCCGATTTAAAAAAAAAATCAAAGTCTCTTTCTCTCTCTCTCTTAGATGAGACAAACCACTGGCCATGATGTGGTTGAAATTGAATTAACTCCAACTCATGATTAGGTTGTTCATGCAGGTCATGATTGGGCCACAAAGGTTGGTTTGATCATTGTTGGCTCTTATGTATCATACAGGCCAATAATTAACAAGAATCTAACCTACAGAGGTTTGAACGAACCGTGCCGATGATTTAACAGTCTTAATATGGGAAATGTATGTTGAGAATGGGGACGATGGAGAGTGGGGAGGAGGTACGGCTGGGAGGTAATGAGGAGAGGATATTCGTGTCAGTGCGGTTGAGGCCTTTGAATGAGAAGGAGATCGCCAGGAATGATGCATCGGATTGGGAGTGTATCAACGATAGCACCATTATTTACAAGAATGCTAATCTATCGGCGCCGGAGCGGTCAATGTTCCCAACTGCTTACGCATTTGGTACGGGAATGCTTCTTGTGATTTTTTTTTTGAATTTTTGTGGTTTGTTATGTCCAAATTGTTTCAAATTAGTTAAAATGTCCAGCATTTGTCATGATCCAAACCTGGAATTCACAGTTCTGAGACAAGGTTCTTGAATTTTAACAAGTTTATTGCAGTTCGAATTTTAATTGTTCATTTCTTAATTTTGTTTTACACAAGTTAGCTCCATTTTGATCCTTTTTTTTTTTAAACATTTCATTGCAACTGCTACTGTTTTATTTCAAAATACTGTTAAAGCATTCGTTCTACATATTGTTCAACTAGATCTTGAAAGTGAAACCTTTATTCAAGGAGGAAAGCTGCTTATCCAGACTTCTATTACAATGTTAAATTGGTCAGAGTTAGTGTCATGAGTTGCAGGCTCATTCTGATCTTTTATTTCTTTTTCTTTTTCTTTTCTTTCTGTTCTTTCTTTTGGGGATCATTTTGGGTCTAGACAGAGTATTTAGGAAAAGTTGCTCCACAAGGCAGGTGTATGAGGAAGGAGCCAAGGAGGTTGCTCTTTCAGTTGTCCGTGGCATCAATTGTGAGTTTTAACTTAATATTTTTTTCCTGCTCTCTGAATTCCATTTGGAACTCCATTGACAAAGTTCTTTGTGTAAAATGATAAATGCACGTTCCAGCAAGCGTTTTTGCTTATGGACAAACAAGCAGTGGAAAAACATATACCATGACTGGAATAACCGAGTATACCATAGCAGATATATATGACTACATACACAAGGTAATCAAAGGAAATCTGAAATTCTAATATATCATTCATTCTCTGCACTTACAATTGTTCATTTCCATCAAGTTCAAAGGGTTTTTGCCAGTGTATTGATTATATGTTTCTACTTTCTACCTTCTGCAGCACCCTGAAAGAGAATTCCTCTTGAAGTTCTCTGCCATGGAGATCTACAATGAGTCAGTCAGGGACCTCCTTAGTGCAGATAGCACTCCACTTAGACTTCTAGATGATCCAGAGGTAAATTTCCTTTTTTAAAAACGACTGTTCTATTCATATTTCCATTACACTAACGATTAACATACATAACAGAGAGGCACTGTTGTTGAGAAACTCACGGAGGAAATTGTGAGGGACTGGAATCATGTGCTGGATCTTCTTTCTGTTTGTGAAGGTAAGGGCTACATAAATAGTTTTATTTTTACAAGATGATTAATGTTTCACATGGGATAGTTCGTTCTTGCAGCTCAGAGACAGATTGGAGAGACCTCCCTCAATGAAACAAGCTCCAGATCTCATCAAATCATCAGACTGGTATGGCTGTTATTTACCAGACTAGTTTTGTATGACAATTTTCATTGCAGCAGCAATTAGCACACTACTAACCCCCTTAACTTTTTCTTTCTTTTTTTTTTTCAGAATGGGGTACTTCTTTAAGTGACTATTGCTTTTTTTTTTTCAGACAATTGAAAGTTCTGCTCGTGAATTTGTAAGGAGGGATAATTCACGCGCCCTTGTAGCTGCTGTGGTATATGGATGAGTTCCTGCAGTTTTCACAATTTTGACAGTAAATAAAATTTTGATTATAATGCCAAATAATTTATCTTTAATTTCCCCTCTTTTTGCTATAGAATTTTGTTGATCTGGCTGGAAGTGAGCGTGCATCTCAGTCATTAGCAGCTGGCACAAGGTTAAAAGAAGGCTGCCACATCAATCGCAGTTTACTAACCCTGGGAACTGTTATCCGCAAGCTAAGGTAGGTTAGCTTTCAGCCAATGATGTCTTCATGAAAGAATCAGAACTTCAAGTTATTGCTTAAGAATTGGTGGAGCTATATGAGATAACATATTTTTAACATTGTCTTCTGTCAATTTCCGTCAAGTCTTCTACACATACTCAAAATTTTCAAAGTAAAACACGGTGCTTTATATGTGGGTTGGAATCATTTGTTGCTTATAATTGTATTATTCAGTGGCACCTTGAGTTAAAGTTGGATTCATTATGTTGCCTGTTTGAAGAAAATCCAAGGATACAATTTGACATGCACTTGACGGCAGAGTAGTTTCCTTCTTTTATTGCAATTATTACGTCACTCTGAATGAGTGTTAGATGTCAATTTTTTGTTTCTTGTGTCAACATTTGAGTCATTTAAGGTTTGTCCAACACATTTTGGCATACAAGAGGAATGTCAATACTGCCACAACATGTTCATAGTGCTCAAGTTGATTATTTGCACGTCTTTTTTCAGGATGTCAGACACCATCCTTGAGATTAAAGTTCATTGTGTCAGCTTCCCTATGCATGATATGGGCTTAAATCCCAATTTGTTGGCATTGGGACCATGAGTGCATTTCTTGCATTTTTCAATTGCATCTAAGGCCGTAAAACTACAGGGCATTAAATTCTTTCTACTGTCCTTTATGACGTTCGTCTTGTTTTTGTGCCTTCGCCTTATACTGATTCACTGCAAATAGACCCCATGTATTGGCCTTTCTTGTAAGTTACAAAACATAGAAGACAACTTCCAGTCATCCTGTCTTTACTACCTCAAAGTTCTCATAAATAATTCATAATTTTGACTCATATGTTATTATAGCACCACTCATCCTTCTCATCACCCTCATTTTAGCTATATTTTTCTTTATACTTTTAAAAAATGTTGGTTTCTAAGCTGAGAATGCATTGGTCACAATGACAATGCCTTTCTGCTAGTATTCCATTGTACTGACAAGTGATAACATTTAAAAGCACTTTCCATTCTTATTCCACTTCACATCATAATGACAGTATTTTCAGTCCAATTTTCTCATGGATGATCAATCCAAAGAATAAAGTGGCATACTCTAAATAAAAACACAAACGGTGACCTTTTAGTGTTAGCATTTCAGGGAGAGAAGTTTAAGGAAAATGGTCTGTTATTCCATATAATGAAATGCAGTATCCAGGATCGTGAGAAGTTTGAGATTCTGTGGCTAGGTTGTGCTATACAAAAATAATATGTTTCTGACTTGTTAGCTGCACTACTNTTCACGCGCCCTTGTAGCTGCTGTGGTATATGGATGAGTTCCTGCAGTTTTCACAATTTTGACAGTAAATAAAATTTTGATTATAATGCCAAATAATTTATCTTTAATTTCCCCTCTTTTTGCTATAGAATTTTGTTGATCTGGCTGGAAGTGAGCGTGCATCTCAGTCATTAGCAGCTGGCACAAGGTTAAAAGAAGGCTGCCACATCAATCGCAGTTTACTAACCCTGGGAACTGTTATCCGCAAGCTAAGGTAGGTTAGCTTTCAGCCAATGATGTCTTCATGAAAGAATCAGAACTTCAAGTTATTGCTTAAGAATTGGTGGAGCTATATGAGATAACATATTTTTAACATTGTCTTCTGTCAATTTCCGTCAAGTCTTCTACACATACTCAAAATTTTCAAAGTAAAACACGGTGCTTTATATGTGGGTTGGAATCATTTGTTGCTTATAATTGTATTATTCAGTGGCACCTTGAGTTAAAGTTGGATTCATTATGTTGCCTGTTTGAAGAAAATCCAAGGATACAATTTGACATGCACTTGACGGCAGAGTAGTTTCCTTCTTTTATTGCAATTATTACGTCACTCTGAATGAGTGTTAGATGTCAATTTTTTGTTTCTTGTGTCAACATTTGAGTCATTTAAGGTTTGTCCAACACATTTTGGCATACAAGAGGAATGTCAATACTGCCACAACATGTTCATAGTGCTCAAGTTGATTATTTGCACGTCTTTTTTCAGGATGTCAGACACCATCCTTGAGATTAAAGTTCATTGTGTCAGCTTCCCTATGCATGATATGGGCTTAAATCCCAATTTGTTGGCATTGGGACCATGAGTGCATTTCTTGCATTTTTCAATTGCATCTAAGGCCGTAAAACTACAGGGCATTAAATTCTTTCTACTGTCCTTTATGACGTTCGTCTTGTTTTTGTGCCTTCGCCTTATACTGATTCACTGCAAATAGACCCCATGTATTGGCCTTTCTTGTAAGTTACAAAACATAGAAGACAACTTCCAGTCATCCTGTCTTTACTACCTCAAAGTTCTCATAAATAATTCATAATTTTGACTCATATGTTATTATAGCACCACTCATCCTTCTCATCACCCTCATTTTAGCTATATTTTTCTTTATACTTTTAAAAAATGTTGGTTTCTAAGCTGAGAATGCATTGGTCACAATGACAATGCCTTTCTGCTAGTATTCCATTGTACTGACAAGTGATAACATTTAAAAGCACTTTCCATTCTTATTCCACTTCACATCATAATGACAGTATTTTCAGTCCAATTTTCTCATGGATGATCAATCCAAAGAATAAAGTGGCATACTCTAAATAAAAACACAAACGGTGACCTTTTAGTGTTAGCATTTCAGGGAGAGAAGTTTAAGGAAAATGGTCTGTTATTCCATATAATGAAATGCAGTATCCAGGATCGTGAGAAGTTTGAGATTCTGTGGCTAGGTTGTGCTATACAAAAATAATATGTTTCTGACTTGTTAGCTGCACTACTTCACTCCGCATTCTGTCCGATTACCATTGCAGTAAAGGACTGTTACTGCATAGATATGTTTTGGTTGTTTCTTTAGAAATCGACCTTAGTGGTTTTTGTATGTCTTCTTTGTTTTTAGCTGTTTTTTATTATCCTATTTACTAGTTCTTTGCTTTCCACATTCTTTCCCAGCACTCCCATTGGTGGGACCAGAACTGGTTAATGGCTTTCTTTTAGCGATTTTACAATGGAAAGCCAACTTTGTAGTTTGTATGGCTGAAGGTTGCATTAGTCACTCATTTTGCTGTTTTATGGTTGGATACAGCAAGGGAAGAAATGGGCATATTCCTTTCAGAGATTCTAAGCTTACCCGCATATTGCAATCCTCGTTAGGAGGCAATGCCAGAACAGCCATCATCTGTACCATGAGCCCTGCGCGAAGTCTTGTTGAGCAATCCAGAAATACACTCCTATTTGCAAGTTGTGCCAAAGAAGTGACCACCAATGCCCAAGTTAATGTTGTCATGTCAGATAAAGCATTGGTAAAACACTTGCAGAGAGAATTGGCTAGATTGGAGAGCGAGTTGAGTAGTCCAGGATCTACTTATGTTACATCAAACTATGCTGCATTACTGCAAGAGAAAGACCTTAAAATTGAAAAGGTAATGAATCAGGGTTTTTGTATCAAATTTTGGGACCTACTAAATTCTCAAAAGCTTATTTGAATGCCATTGAACAGTTTGACATTAAAGAATGCATATATATTGGCAAAAATATTTGCATGAAGCATATTTTTTTTAGTGTCCCTGAGATTAGGCTTTGGTACTTGTAAATCAAAATCAAATTGAGTAAAGGAGATTGGTGTGAGTTAATTCATGTATAATATCGGCAGCTGCAGACTTTACTGTGCATCATTCTTTGACACATAACTCTGGTTCTCTTGTTCTTAAACTTACTTCAGTTGGTATGCAATGCTGTATGCCTCTTTCCATTTGTTCTTTTATTATATCCAGCTTTAAGTCTGTTGCAAAATTTTGTCCTTCGTCACTATATTAGGCCAGTCCGGGGAGTCTAATCCTTTTACTCTAGTCTTGCCTTAATCTTCATAGTGAGCTCTTTATAATGAATCCGTGAAGAATTTAGCAATTGATTTGTAATAAGTCTTTCTCATAAGACATGGTTGGTCTACTGGTTGTCTTAGCATAAATTTTTTCGTTGTACTAGTAAGTGTTCTGATGCTTTTGTTGGTGGGCTAATTCAATATCTGGTTGACTCAAGGAGCCTTATTAGTCGAGAGTATTTTGGAATGGTTTCCTCACTTCAGACCAACTTTTCTGGCCTAAACTTTACCCTAAGAAGAATGCATCTGAAACACCATGATTATTACCAGAGAGGGCTGTTGTCATTTGAGCAACACTACAACCTCAATGTGCCAATTAGAAAATTAAAAATGACTAAAGTAATCGTTCAACTGAACCAATATTGCTGGAACAAGGATTGCATGCTACATTGACTTCTCTTACAAAAAGGTGTCTTGTTTCACAACAAATTTGATGGGGAATGACAATTGATTAGGTGATCACACTAGAACATACTGCATCTAGAAGCCATTTCTAATTGAAATGTCATTGCGCTACAAGTGAATCGTTCAATTCTTCAGTTAGACATTTTTCTTTTGGAAAATTTTAGCTTCTCTTCACTCGTCAAGTATAATGTAAGCACAGTTTGACAAAGCAACAACTTTCTTATCGGCTGACTTCTTGGATGCCTACATGCTTATATCTTTTTCTAACTCTGATTTTACTGTAGCTGGAGAATGAGTTAAGAGATCTTACTTTGCAACGAGACGCTGCTAAGTCTCAGGTTCAGGACTTGCTAAGACTGGTCAGAGATGAAGGAAATTCATTGATAAGGGTAAATGTCTTCATACAGTTGATGCATTGATTCCATCTGCATTGGTTGTCACCATGCAAAGTTTCATTTTTTTGATTCCTTCACTGTCCTCCAGGTAGGTTTGGGTCAGTACCCTAACTTGCGAGTGAGGAGATCACCAGAATTTCAAATCACAATGCCAGAGACATCAATTTTGGCAGATCCTCAATCACTGGATGTTGTTGTACGAGCATTTGGTGCATCTAAGTACTCTGACAATCACAGTAGTAGTTCTGATGATGACTATATACAACTCCCTGACTTTGAGGAGAAGGTTTTGCTCAATAATAAATCTCCAAGGCTACTGCTAAATACTTCACATTTTAGCGACAGCGATTCATGTAACGGGTGGGAGAATATTGAAAACCAAAGTAATGGAACTTCTGAGGATCTGTGCAAGGTAGTTCAGTGTATTGAAACAGAAGAGTCTAGTACAAAAAGATATTTAGATTCCTATTATTTGTCTCAAAACAATACTGGAACCTCAGCGCAGACAGAGGTTGGGAATGGAGACAGATCACATCAAGAATCGGAATCAGAATCTCCTTTGCTGAAAGAAGATGGAGAACTGGTGTTGCCACCCTTGAAGGAAGGTAGAGAGTTGGGTTTACTGCCACTGAAGGATGATCGAGAAGTCGTGTCACCACTATTGAAGGAAGATAGGGAATTGGTGTCACTGCCATTGAAGGGAGATAGAGGGTTAAATTGCATGCATCCTTTTGTTGTTTCTAATGAAAAACCATCTCCATGGCATGATATGACAAACTTATCCAGCTCTGAAAGCTTAAAATTAACCAAAAGCAGAAGTTGCAAAGCAAGCTTCATGACTAGCCTGTCTTCTCCATGTTTTTATGAGGTAGAAAACCATGATAACACACCACCAAATGTATCTAAGAAAAACTTCACTGGAAGACCAGAGAGCTTTCGAAGGAAGTATTCTACCCTAAACTATGGTGCTGGTTTTGAAAAATTATCAAGAAAAGGTTTTCAATCTTCTCTAGGGAGTGCTGTTGATATTGAGCTTGAAACACAGAATGAGGGAGCTTCAACTGATGAGTATGTCACCGGTGTCAACACATATGTTGCAGGAATGGACATGGATGAGATTCAGCATGATAAACTAGTGTCTAATATTCCAGTGAGTATTTTTTTGTTTTTGAATTATAACATATTTCCTCGCTGATTATAACGAGTTTAGCAAAAATCAAGGCTTAATTAACTTCTCTTGATACTTTTCACCAAGTACACCTATGCTTATTTCTGTTATTTTCAATTCAGGAAAAGTTATAAGGAGCAATTGTTTTAGAACTCTCACTATTGAGTGGAAAGAAGTTTATGTGTGCTGTTTGTGCATAGTGTCTTTACAATCTATCTGTATATGTGCTTTTGAGTAATTTATGTGGGACTATGCCCATTTTTATCTTGTTAATTCAAATTCTGAACACGGTGATCAGGAGCAATCACTTTAGGATCGTATCGTTGCTTAAAACTTCACTTCACCATATTAGACTTTTTGATTGAAAATCTGCTCTGTGTGTGTGTGATGCATACGTCTGCCTATATGCTTTCTTGTGCTTGCCTCTTGTATACATCAAATTAATTCTTTACAGAAACTCTTTAGGTGGGGTATCCTTATTTAGGTTTTTAACTTCATAAATCTGCAAATGGCAATACAGAGCAATCATTTTAGACTCATCCTTCTTCTTTTAAAAAATTCACGATGTTGAACATTTTGATGGAAGTCTTCAACCCCACTACCCCAGTTGCTTTTATCAATTGAACATGTGTTGTCATAATGACAGGTAAAGGACATTGAAGCAAAGGCTGATGAATCTTTAAAGAATGTCAAAGATGTTGGGTTGGATCCAATAGAAGATGATTTTGAAAATCTTTCAAATGAATCTTTAAAGAATGTCAAAGACGTCGGGTTGGATCCAATAGAAGATGATTCCAAAAGCCTCTCACATTGGCCATCAGAATTCAAGAATCTCCAAAGAGAAATTATTAAACTTTGGCATGCTTGCAATGTGTCTTTGGTGCACAGAACGTACTTCTTCCTGCTATTCAAAGGTGACCCAACAGACTCCATATACATGGAGGTAGAGCTCAGGAGGCTGTCATTCCTCAAAGACACATTTTCCCGGGGCAATCAAACTGTAGAAAATGGTCGGACTCTCACTCCCGCTTCAAGGTAAGATAGGTCTCATCTAGTCTAGAAGGTCCACAGAATAAACACTATAAATGGAAAAACGTAGCTGAGGTGTGAAACCAATTTTGTTGCAATCACCAGCTTGTTGAAATTACAGCATGCCAATCATCTGTAATTCTGTATGGACGTACCTCAGAAAATAAGGAGATAAGCAAATTGATTAGTTGCTTGACATCTTTTTCTGAAGGACATAATTTTTCAGTTTGAAATGCCGGTAAAATGTGCTGTGATTGACAACAGGCTGATGAGGGCAACAATTTTGCAGGTTGCTCGTTCTTTTTCTATTATATTGCCAGTTTGCTTTCGTTATTGCCTAATAGTATGACTATTAGAAAATACAGCATGATAAGCAAATATCAAGCTCGTTTTGATTGCTGACATCTCTTTGTGAAACAGCCTGAAGGCTCTCCGTCGTGAGAGACACATGCTGAGCAAGCAAATGCACAAGAGGTTCACAGAACAAGATAGAGAGAGCCTCTTCCTCAAATGGGGTATTGGGTTGCATACTAAGCACAGGAGGTTGCAACTGGCCTTGAGGTTGTGGACCAGAACAGAAGATATAGATCACATTGCAGATAGTGCCTTTATTGTTGCAAAGCTGGTTGGATTTATCGAGCCAGGGAAGGCCCCCAAGGAGATGTTTGGGCTTAATTTTGCTCCACGGCGCACAATGAGATCCTATAGTTTGAAACAGAGCTTGATCTCTCTCTTGTAAGGTCTTTTAGGAATGCAAGAGGAAACATTTTGTGGCAATTTGATATGTCCTGGCTCCATTTGCAGGTATGATTTTAAAAAAAAATTTTCCCACTGATTTCCACCTTATAGCGTCTAATTCTGATTGAGACAATTGTAGTGAGGCTTGTACATTTACTCGGACTACAATGATAGTACAATTGTGGTATTGTTGCCTCCCTCCTCTGTTGTATAGGATGCCTTCAAAACTAATTCAGCTTGAATAATATTATATAAAACATACGAGATATTTATTTCTCTTCCGTTTGTTGTCTTCATTTTTCCAAACCATTCCGTCTCTCTAATCTAACATTTATTTCTTTTTGCCTCTCTGATTTTTTAGGGTTACTTGTTATAGATGTTCATAGAAATTTTGTTATGAACCCATGAGTGGAACTTACCCTAAAAATAGGCTTGTAAGATAAGAGTCTCCGAGAGTTCTTATACACACATCTAATCTTATTTTTAATCGATGTGGAATCGTAACATTCCATCACTTTTTTGTAGTTGACGTCTACGATAGCCCACTTTATTGATATTGACTTAATAGTAGTTTTTTTTTTTTGGCGGCTTTACTCACCTATCAAATATTTAATGAGATAGTATTATCCCCATACATAATACAAAGTTATCTTAATCCAAATTATATGTCACTCTTTCCATAACTCGACTACATAGAGCTGTAATTTACATTACGTTCAATTCTATATTTGACGTGGTGGCTAGTTCTAATACCAATTATTATGAACTCATGAGTAGAATTTACTCCTAAAAATTAACTTACAAAAAAGGGTGTCTAAAAATTCATATACACACATTGTAACAATTTTAGTAGTGGGAATAGATTTCAACAAAAAGAAACTACCCGATCTAAATTTGGACAGTAGATTGGGTCTCGGTTTCAATCCCGGCTGAATTGAGTAAACCTAATATCAACCCCTAGTTAAACTCAAGTTTCAATCCAGAGATTGGGATCGCCTTTTTGCTGAGTTGTATAATGTGAGTTTAAGGTTTTAACCATGCTAGTACTCGAGGTGAAGGAGTTGGGTTAAATTTTTATTCATAATTTTATAATTTGAGTTAAACTTAAATTGGCTTTCTCATAAAGCATTCATTCTTCCGAGATACATTTTTCTATGTAAGCCTAAGATGAAGTAAATATTCAATATAACGATGATTTACATCAGGCATGGTTATTTAGTATGATCATTCAAGAATAAAAAATCAAGTGAACAAGATAAACTTTTACTTTTTTCTTCTTTTATTTTTTTATTTTTTTTGCTACAACATGTTTAAACTTTCGCCGATTATTCCCTTGAGTCCTTAGTCGATCATTGTAACTCGAACTAGTTTAAGAATATACTCTCTTAGAAACAAGAGTGATTGTTCATTAGAGGGTGCAAAAAATTTTAAATCTAAAACTTATTATTTGTAAGAGGATAAACTTGACCATTAGGATCATCCCTAAAAGTTAAACCTCTACTTTCTTTTATCTTGGTCGTTATTGTCCTATAGAGAGAGAGAGAGAGATAGTAGTTAGTGAGTGTATTACATAGAACAGGGATTATTGATATGTTGATAATATATTATTAAATAATAATACTACGTCACAATGCTAAAATTGTACTACTGATTGCATTAAATATTATCTTCTGGATATGGGCTTAGTACAGGTCTTGGGCATGTAAGATACCCCAATTGGTAGTGTTGCATTATGTCTTATCAAAAACCACGACCCGAATTTTATTTAACCACTTCTTTGCTTGCTCCCTTACGAAGCCCAGAAGGTAAATAAAACATTCCCAAACGTTCTACACTTTGGACTATTATGCCTAAAACCCCTCAAGAATCTACCGGTGCATTTCACAACTTACTTCCCAGAGGCACAATTTCAGATAACAATCTCTCTTTCTGCGTGTATGTGGAAGTTGCAGCGATTCAGCAGCTCTATACCCACAAAAACAGAAGCAATGGAAGAAAAAGAACAGCATCAATTTTGAACAACAACATTGATGAAGGTGAAAAATGACACCCACACAGCTTCCATACCTCTTCTTACACTCGTAGGAGAGTTCTGTTTCATCGTTACTGTTATATCAGCTCTTGGTATTGTTGGAGCATGCCTTAATATTCGTAAGGCTGTTGGATCAAAGGTCATTCCTGTATCAACTTCAGGTCTCGAACAACAACATCCTTTGCGTATTTTCCGCCATCAAATCATCAGCAAAGTTTTTTGTTTTTTTGGCCCCTTTTGTTCTTGTAAATAGGGTTTTTTCTTCTGGTTAGTAAGATTTTTGTTACTTGGTTCTGCATGGTCTCCCCCCCCCCCCCCCCCCCCCAAAAAA